CAGCACGAACGAAACCGGTCTTTAACTGTTAAAGAAGTTTTGCCATCTCTGTGAGTAGTAATCATTTAAGGCAACACTACGAAATTCACACTCAGACATTTGCATAAAATAGCGACTAGATAGTACGAATGCACTTCATCAAACCAATTTGGAAAGAGCGCCGTAAATCAACGTTTACTGAAGCTATAATTCAATTATCACGATTCGTCTTGCACATTGTTCATCATTTAGTTTTACATTTTATGGACCTTAGGTTTCATGAAACAGGGAATGGTTGTTTCAACTCCAAAGTACCATGAGCTAGTTGGATAATGCAACCGCTTGGACCGGTTCTGTCCTAAATGATGAACTTCTGAATTAGGTTAATGTTTGGGTGTTTTAACCGTTCAATGATTCAACAAAAAAGCAAACACTAGTTCGTAAGGAGTTATTTTTTCCAGGAGAGTTGGGACTATCTGAAACGGTGACAAAAATTATCACTATCCCCAAGTCAACTTCTGCCCACCCATTACAGACGATAATGACGTAGCCAGTTATTGTACAATCAAATAGAATAAAGCCGATTTGAAAAGAATACTGACAAATGGTGTTTATTTGATAACCATATGGCTGCGGCTTGTTATCTGTGAGAATATACTACCACACCTGTTTATCAGCTAAAAGGAATAGAGGAAAAATATCCATAGAAGCAAAGACGAATAGTTGCTCGATGGATTAAATTGATGAATGAAATTCACAAACTTCACAGACTTCTGACAGAAAAAGCGCGTCAGTGGATGGCCGGAAAACAGACTGCAACACCTGTTTGATCACGTCTGACCTGCTGCAGAAAACACCGGAAGACTACATCCGATGAAGGTGACAAACTAAACCAAGCACTTTAATAATCTTTGTTGTGAGTAGCGAGTATCCAATCCTTATGGCTTCGGCTCTCGTTTAGAGAGAAAATGCAATATACTGGGCTCTTGATTATATCCTGCAAAGTGAACACTTAAAGCCAGGATAAATTTGATGCAAGAAGCCGCATTCAACGGACAGCACAATGCGCAGCGGGTATCTGTATAGTATGGAACCATGAAATACTGCACCTTACCAAGAAACGCAACATTGTAACAAAGTTTGTCGCACCTTGTGTGCATCCATCCACTCAAGTTTTGCATAGAGTATAAGTATGCTAATGCGTTTCATCCGGACATTAAGAAATCAACGCTTGGTTGCGATAACGTGCTCGAAGGATTGTTTTGCATGCTAGTGAGCACTTCTAGAAATTGGTTCCTACGTTTCCTTGCGCCTACACAATAAGCGGGTCAGTATGATGAACAGATACGCGACTTTTTGCAACAAAGTGGGCGAAAAACTATAAGCAAGAGATGAGAAGGAGATAACGTCGGCTAATTTGAAATATCAGTACAGTGGGAAAGTTCCGATGTTACGTGACTGTATGTTGCCCGGTGGTCTATTTCTGCAGGCAATCATCAGTTATGGGTGAGAACATAATAGATTCATACAATTTTCGAAGACAAATGGAGGGCTGACATTTAAGGTAGAATGCAATTCACACTGGAGAATGGCGCACATTATGCAAAATGCCAATAATTGCACAAAATGGCACCCGGATGTTGGTGATTCCATCCAACTTGGAAAATTGAACTCTCAAGAAATGGAATAAAGAAGGCTTAAAAATGGAACTGAAATCCAGAGTTTTTGGGATGAGCAACATGTGTGAGTTGGGATTCCTTGAACACACCGGAGGCACACGTTGCCATTAAAATTGCCTTCTGTATACAGTAACGGAATCTATCGGATGAAGATTTCAACGTCCAAGTACTTGAGTCACGTTTCTTCGACTTATGTTAAAAAAAATCATCAACTAAATTATGTTTAAGTTACATCAACTCGTTTGGCAAGGTCTCGTTGAATTTATCAACGGCCAATCTGTCAAGCAAGGGTAAAAAGATCTCTATTCTTCACTTCAACATATTTTCATTAAGGCACATAACAGGACTGCGACTCGCGAGAGTAATAAATTTTTCTGTTTCGGAACAATGGCCAAAATCTTATGCGATGAGCCGAACGTATCCAGGCACGGCTATGTAAGAATCTTACTTCATCAATTCATGAAATGAGAATCTACAAACTTATGAGGATATTTAGCGCGCCTTATCGGACTTACTATTGCCAGCTTGTTGATTATATATACATATATATTGATCTCCATACAATAATATGCGCATACATATATGTGAATATATTTTTATGAAACTTTTTACTAAACCATCAGAAAAAAACATTTGTTGCGGTTTCCAAATATCAAAGTAACATTCTTCTTCTTTTAAGCGCTCCAAGTTATGAGTTTTCTGCATTCGTTTCATTCTTGTTTGAACAGTTTTCAGCCAGTTCTGGCGTGACTACTCTGACTTATTTACACGCTGGACACTTAATGAATCATTGATAGACACGTTTGGAAACTCGTCCACATCGTTTAATGGCAAAAAAATTCTGCTGTTACGATGTAATAATTCAAGCACACCGAGCTTGCGTTGGTGGGACAATGGTCACAGTTTCGCCTCAGGTGTCTCATGTTCGAAGTTAAAATCCCGGCTAGGTCGAAGTCAGGAACCAGTGATGAAGACTATCAGGAGAGAAACCCAGGTCCAATCTATTCTCCTCTGATGTGAACCTACAATATTGCTCTCAAAGGGATAGAAGAGGGCTTGTCTAAACGACAGTAGTATGAACTCTACGGAGCAAGCAGTCTGTTGTAAACGGGTAGTTCTGGATTATGATACAGAAGTGGTCCTAGAATGAAATGTAGTATCCTTTTTTCCAGCTTGTGACTCAACAGACGGTTAAAGCATTCTTTCAGCACTTCAGGTTTAAAGTTCACAATCATCACCATGATACTAAGCAGCCGTTGAAATTGCCTCTACATATGGTGTATAAAAATTCAACTGGGCTTTACGTGGCTTATCAGGAAACTGGCGACCGATGGGTAATCAGAATTATTTTCAGTGTTGCGTGCCCACAAATGGGATCTCGGAATTACCGAGTTCATGGCTTCGAGGTCTTACACGTGAAAATAACAAAGCAGAAGACGTTTCAATCAACGAACAACAGCGCACCATTAGTACTTAACAGTAGCGTCACTGACGTGAGGGTCTGTGACAACTATGATAACGTTCCGCATCTACTCACTTTCATTCCTCTACAGCCCTGTTTTGTTCTCTATGAGGTTGGAGCCTAATAAGCTAATGAGATAAACGACTACTTCAACTCAGTGAATAAAGCTCGACCCCTCGACCCCCCACCGTAAAATAGATAAATTCATAACTTGAATTCCAATGCTAAAATTATAGACTCAGGATATTATCCGATAATTCAAAGAAGGCTCTCAAAACGGACTGAATACATTGGCGTCCATCAGAAGTTTCACTCTTTTTCGTTCTACGGCAAAATAAAATATGAGGATAAATAGCTAATAGTCAATTTCCGATACTTTATTCTGGAAATGCATATATATATCGAATGTCTATATGCAGTTTGAATAAAAACCGTTGAATTAATCATTTGACGTGTATGTGAGCCCGTCAAGCTGGCTTAATAATGCAATTTAGGTTAGGAAATTAGGCTTTCTGGTATTTTTACATATTTAGTCCTCTCTCCACTCAGTATACTGAAACTTCATCCAGTATCATTCTAGATGGTAAAGCCAGTGCAACGGGCTCTTAGAAAGTGCCGGACAAATCCGGGGATATAACATTTAACTTTCGCTGAGAATTCAAAATGCCTACTTGAACAAATGAAGTAATAGTTACAATGTGGACGCGGAATCAATTGGGGAATGATAAATAAAAGATGTTTATTTTGGACGGTATCTTTTAGTGTTAGAGACTGGGCTTGTCATGTCATTCCTAATGAGTTCCATATTAAATCAGTTCAGATGGATGGTTTGATTCAGTACTGTTCAGAATTCAAAGGAGACACTTTTAAACTGGTTACGCTTGTAGTAAATTCTTCTTAATCTTTGATAGGAATGAGTGTTTTCGTCAAAATCCAGTCTATTTTGCGATAACGCTGTTTGCTACTAACACACAGTGTTTTCGGTGTCCTAACTTACCTCGATGTCAGAGATATGTTTGTAGAAAAACGTTCTTGCCCATAGCCATCCTGTCACCGTTAATAGAACCGGTCGATTTTTTGGTAACTCATCCAAGTGGCAAACTATTTGGGCGCAAACAGGTTGTTCCAATCGATAACCAACTCTATCACATTGGAGAATCTGTTGGAAGAGAATGAACGAACATAAGTGTGTGGCATGGAAATCATGAAGTTCTGAGGGAGGTGAATCAATGATGTTTTTCAGGAAACAACTCTGGTAGGCAGGAATTAAACTGCGTTCCCAAGGAGACGAAGTAACATTATCTCCCAAGAAAGTATTTTTGTTTCCGCATGTAATTTGGTATGGGAAATGATGAAATTCTCACGTTTCGTGGGTGGAAGTGGCAAGCGTATAACACATTTGGCCAGGTCTCCGAAGATGCTATTTTGTAGCTAAGTTTTTGAGAGATAGAAAATTTGCCACTAGGGAAGCTACTGTCTCCAAATGGGAGAGTGTTTCACCTTTACATTACCTTACACAACTTGGAATTTTCTATTCCAGAATGTGCAAACAATTGATGAAGATGGAAGCCATGCACACAAAATTTACTTAGGTTTACAAGATCTTAATACTAACTGGGTAGTCTATTACGATCACATGAAAATTTTCAAACTATTCTTTTCTTACATTTACACTTTGAGCGTCAACCTGCTACTCATGCGAACAGAAGCCAGCGCCAATGCTGAATTTTCAAGTCAGTAATGAACTTCTTAGAAACTATTGGACAGTCATTCTGTCAATAAATTGTTAATGTCGTAACACTATAGTAAATAGAATAATGCGTCCGAGTTTGTCTGATGATAATTTATCTCATCTCGCCCACCAGACTTAAACTGGAACAGTTCCCATCGATCCTCGCAATCGTTAAACTAGGTTGTAGTAAGAAGTTCCCGGTTTATTTTGATGTTACTTGTACCACTGAACAGAACGCCGTTGCGCAGAATCTGCTAACCAACTGCTAATTCAGCTGTGGGCAAGATGGCGCAGTCGTTAGAGCGCGAATATACTAACCAGAGGGTTCGTGGTTTGAACCCGATCTTTACCTCGCGACTTCCTCCGTCTAAGCTGGGGGGGGGTATCCCACCACTCGTTCTTCCTTCTGGTGGCATGGTATTTAGGCACCGAAAGGGCGCAACAGCTGAATGATCCAACCGTAGTTTATAATATAGAGTTTGCCACCTTAATACCAGGGATTTCAATTGCTGGTAAATCATTCCGCTAATGATTAGGCAGTCATCTACTGAATACCAATAGAAATCATGCCAACTTACGATAACTTTGCCCGTATCTGGGTGTGCTGCTTGTGGCTAGCTAACCCCCGATAGGATATTTGGGATGAATTTTATTTCTGTAGTAGAGCAAAACAGTTAATTCTACCTCTTCTGAACCACAAAAACATACTTCATGCGGATTCACGGTGGCACGGAAACACCAAGTTGAGGTGTTAAGTAACAATAATGATTCACTGGTCAATCAGAAGACCAGAAACGGTGAACGGGTGTGAAATCTAAAATGCATCTCACACAATTACATCTCCCGAACAAACCAATATTGGTTGAAGACTTTCTCGTTCAATTATGGGTAGTCATATATTTGCCAATCATCCAATAGGTGAAACAAAGACTGTCTTATGGTAAGAATGTCAAGGTGTTTTTGCCGTTCAACGCAAGGCAACTATAGGAATCCGATAGCTCATGGTAACTATCACAAGCGTAAAAACTGTTCTCTTGAACGAAAATTTCACCCTCATAACATCTTTCAAAGCCATTCGAAAACCATAGAACTATCTCAATCAGTCATAGTGGTACTGTGATTGGTCATTAAATGCAGTTTTATCTGCCATGTTTTATTCAGATACGAATTTGAGGATTTATGGAAAACTTAGGATGAAATTACCAAACATCTATTCGATTACCGATCAGCAAATGACCTTCACAAGCCAAAGGAATTTCTTTCTCTCCAGCATTTAAGGCTAATAATATTGCAAAAACTGATGGGAAGCAAACATTTTTTACCTGTTTTGGCGTACGTAAACCAGATGCTAGCAAAATTAAATGAGCTGATTGACCTCTGCATTCGCTCAATTCAGGCATAGTCCTGAATGCCAATCAAGTCTGCATATTTCCTACGAGTGCCTTTACTTCCAATCATTGAAACGCTTATGCCATCAATTTTTGGTTAGGTTACTACAAGAAAGTTGTATGTTTTGTTTTAAGCAGCTGACGATACAACATTTTCAACTGTTCTATTGAACAACCATACGTGGGACAGATATATCATGTAGCCACCGTTCGTTCGGTCAACAGATATGCCGCAATTCACCAAGGTGGTTGTAATCTATCACTCGTTGTAAGCTCTACTCAAAGTTGATTGGCGACCTAAAACGCCTATAGGGTTGTGAAAAGTAAAGTTCTTCGCAAATATACAGACAGTTGAGGGTAAATTTGTCCCAAATTTTACTTCATTTGACAATCATCTGATGATCCTACTGTCCTCCATAAGGCCAGGAACAGTGTCGGAAACCGTCCGCATGATTAACGTACTAGACTGGTGTTTTCAACACCAATTCAGGCATTACACTTAAAATTTCGACAAATAAGCGTGTGGAACTCAGTGTGACTGAGCAAATAATTAAGTGACATCATTCCTCTGCTCCTCGCAGCAGCTTGCATACCATGAAAACTTTGAACCCCCAGAGTATTTTTATGTTTAAGTACTCATTGTACTGTGAGAATCTTTAGATGAATAAAATACGGTGCGAAAGGAGTCGTTCTCGCCCCCTCAGCTATTTTAACACGCCATCATATGACGAACCAAAAAAAACTCGTTTTCAGTGAATGAAATTGATACGGTGACCCCATAGTCCTTAGAATGCATTCACGTTGGTGTTTTAAAGAATACAGAAGTAGCAAAGCGAAAGCCGTTTTGTAAACGCACGTGCTTATCTCTTTATATGGACGATCAAGACATCTCGAGGACGAAAGTTGCTGTGTAGGTTTAAAGCTTGTGCGTTTTCTAGCAGCCTGAAACGATTTGTGCAGAGCTGTGTGGTGCTGCACGCAAGCCTATAGAGCCCATGCAGCCCACTGGTCGAGCATGTGGAGGCCTGTTGAAAGTTGGCTCTGGGCCTGAACATGATGGTGCTGCACAGCGTCCCTTGTCCATGTTGAAGTGCTATCCGTCGGTTTCCAAATGTCGAGCATGTGGAGGCCTGTTGAAAGTTGTCTCTCGGCCTGAACATGATGGCGCTGCACAGCGTCCCTTGGCCATGTTGAAATGCTATCCGTCAGTTTGCAAATATTTGGACAGTTCCTGTTTTATAGCACCGTACAAATGTTTCAGGGAGTTGCGTCTTAGGATGCCATCAAGCTGATATTTGATAATTTGATCGTATACCGCTATAAATATCATTGAAGAAATTGTTGCCTTTAAGGGTCGGGTTCTAGTTAGAAAATAAGACAATTCTGGCTTCGTTCCAACAGAATTTAACTTTCTTCACTTCTAGCATATAAGTAAATGCGTCCTCGATGGCCCTTAAGACTGACAATGTAGCCATATGCATCGGAAAATTGTGCAAGCGGAAGCTTTGCTAGGGAAACTGACATCTGCGATTTTCACTGTCAGAAAGCTTTGTCTCATTACTGTGTATTTAATCGTTCTTCTGTCAGGTGCTACGTTCTGTCGTGGAAATTTAAGTATCTTAAACATAAATGAAGGATATTCTAGTAGCAGAATGTCCAATTCACCAATAACTTGATCAGCCGTTGAGTAGTCTTCCATTTTCAAAACATTTCGCCTTCTGGGATAAGGTCTGATCACCGAAACTGTAGGACAATTCACAGACAGTGCAACTTAAAAGAACCAAGTACCCAAGCACATCATCTGTAGTGCGCCCAGATTTACCACCATACAGAAGCTAAACCAGCGAGACAGTCCGGTATGTTGCAAGCATATTATAAATGCGTATTAGGAGATTGTTACAGAAGCGTATATTAAGGCGGCCAGATGCAGTTTTGGCCTTCGTAATTTAGCTGGAAACAGTTACGTCTTGAAAAAATGCTCCACTAAGATTGCGAAATTGCCTACGGGGGCGTGTCTTATGGTCACTCAGTCAAATACTCGTTGCAGGCTGTTAAAAGATGGGCGTTTTGAAACATCCGAAGTTAAGCCAGCACGGCATACCCCCAATACAAAGATTGTCGTCATCCCCTGTAATCCTTCTTCGGAATAAAAAGATAAGGGCAAGAAAGTCCTTGGATTGAATAAATTACCATCTATTTTGTATTGAATTGGCACAGTATGCTCGCAGTGACGAACGAACCTAGCACAGATGGTTGTTAAATAGACGGTAAACCGGTCTGGTCGAGGGATACAAACCCTGTTGGCGTTTGTATCAATAGTGAACTGTGAATTGACACTCAAATGTCCTCCCAGCGCGGTCGATACTGACCGGATTGACTAAATTAGACTGACTGCTTTGTTTCTGTACCATCCACAGTCAATATCACTTAAATTACCCAAACGTAATGATGATATCTAAGAACAGTCCAAAAAGTAGTTGGTTCAATCTTCGACGTCGTTTGTTCCCAAAGGCGAGTCATTCAGTCCTTCTGCGACATTTTCTTAAACTCTGCAGCGTCCTCTCCATAATCCCACCAACTAGTCAATCAAAGAGTCCACCAATGTTGCACAAAATGCCACTCTCTTAAAAGTCTCCGGGGCTTTTGGATTTCCATCCTATCCATACACAGAATTACCGGTACGTCCCTGAAACCTTTCAAAGCACGATAACCATTTGTCATGCACTATCGTTCTGTCCAGCCTGAACAGCCGTGTAGAAGAGTTATCCGCTTCCGCTGCTCTTTTCAGTTTCTGTTAGTTTTGACTTTCACCACCGCCAATGAATCAAGAACAATAAACCTTTAAGGATTCAGCTTTGTTCTACTTTCACCGGTTGTGTCAAAAGTCAACCAGAAGGTGGCATGAGTCTCCTGTTTTCATTAATCAGCTGCATTTCCAATTCTCCTTTCCTTCTAATCTATACGGTTCTCTACCTAAATAGAGTGTATGGGAGCAATATGAAGTAAAATGATCCAAGCCAGTGGTCGATATCCCCTACCTGGCTCAATGGTTCTTTATCGTGATTTGGGCTGCTGTGGTCGTAACTATACCCGACCCCAGCACAGATGACAATCACTATACCAGTGTCATTACCCGTTATTGCTTAAGTTAAGCAGCTTTACTGAGACGGGACAAAATACCGTTTAACTCATTTACGCAACTGAAGGAGCCGCACCAAAAACATCATTGGCAGGTAAACCCCAATCGATTTATTGTAGTCAGGAGTTCATGAATGATTCTAACAAACTTCGTCGGGAAAGGCGTATCTTGGGAAAGACGTATGATGGGAAAGACGTATCTTACCTAACGATAACCGTATTCAGCAATGGAAGTTATTAAGATTAAATTTCCCTCACTGTAAGTCTTCCTTTCAATCCCCAGATTTTTAGACTAAACTAGGAGTTCAATATAATAAAACGTATTCATCCGCATCTGGATATTCTTCTATTTAGTTCTGAGCTTTCATATCAATTGGAAAGTATGCAATCTTCGGAGATTTCTCCAACAAGCCGCTGTATAGTCTTATTGCCTTCCTGAGATGTTGCGATTAAGAGCTTTATCTGCTCAGATTTCAGAGAAACCGAGTCTTTTATGAGAAATAATCAATACGTGGAATAAGTGTACTTTTAAAAAGGCAGGAAGTTTACGATTAAATGCCTAAAATGGGCTATTCTCAGGTTAGTGCTGCGCACAACTGTCCGTGATTTGAACACGTACAGGATATTTGTGGTGATCTGTTGACACGTTTTCAACATTTTCAGCCACCGTAGAGAATTTCGACATGAACATCAGATGAGCTAGAGATTGCGTAAGACCTCCACAGACAGGCAATGCTGTGAGGTGATGTTCGACTCAGTATCTCGCTGGTCACTGAAACCTTAGAGCTGGTGTGGTTTAAATTGATTCCAAGCTTTATTGCGGAGTTAACGTAATGAAGAGGTACCGAGAAGCTGATAGGGAATGATGAAACAAAGTTACGAACTTTCATAAAGGAAACTACTCACAAGGTTGCTGTAAGCTCTTCGACAGTTCATATCATAAACGAGAGATTCATCTGAGTCTCTCGTGAAAATCAAATTGATTTACAAATGAGTGTATTTCTCTAAAGTCACGAACTGATTTCAACCCTGTTGAATGCTTCCCGAAAATAACAGAATAACATCCCGCAAAATTCGTCCAGAACCCCGTCCTGCTAGAAGTCCGTCCGCTCTGGTAACGTAAGAATCGCTGTGGATTCAAGATAATTAGCTACTTGAGTGATAGGGGTTACATAGCGCTCTTTTTGAAAAACAAAATGTCATACGAAATGCTTGAAATGTGGCTGGGTTATCGTAAGACTCGTTCTAACGCTGAGTCTCCATCTGATATTGTTGTTCAGATAAACGCCAGTTAATTGAAGAAACAAGCAAATAACCTCTTTCCTAACTACACTACAAAGGATTACGTGTCAGGCTCGACGATGAATCTATCCACTTAGCCATTTGCCAGCGAATTAACATTTCTACGAGCTCAGGCTTTCTTTTTGTTGTTATCCAGTGAGCAAACATTGCAATAAATTTAAAAATTCAGGTCAAAATAATGTAGCTGTTATCCGACAGAAGTTCGAATTGGGCATCTAACTAAACATACAGACACTGTTTTGGAATGGATTCCTAGCAAATGTAAGGGCACATTTAGCTTATTTAAAATCCAAGCGTCTGCTTTTCTGAGCATCAGCAGTCTTGGTCGTTCTCTCCATTCCTTCGAAGTTCCTTGTAAACGGATACCAATTACTGGTATCTGTTGAACTGACCTTAATTATGAGGTGTTCTCTCGCGAACAGGGACAACCAGAATCGACGTACGAGTGAACGGTGATGCAAGTATTTCAACTTTCAAAAACAATACCATGAAATACAAGCTAGTGGTTTAGGAGTGATCTTACCACTGATTATCAGTGATAGCTTTTTAGAGAGGTTGCCGGTGGTTTCCCAGAATATGTACATTTCAAACCAACTTACAATAGACCATTTGCATGTAGTCTTATTTTGGAATGCGAACAACCGTACACGACTTCACTTTACGCATTCTAACAGGATATTTCCGCTCTAGGGAACCATGCCTAAGTTTAGGTCAATTATGACTGTTTAGTTGAAGGTACCACATGCCGCAAGAGGCTTCATTTGCTTGTTGCCCTCTAGAATTTTTATCAGGGAGAAGTAGATGTATCTCCTATTAAAATGTATGAGCAGTACATCGCTTTCGTAGGGATTTTCGATGTGACCTAGTCATAACCAATTATCGATTCTCACGCCTTGGGAAACAATTTTCTGGTCAGTGTGGCGTGACATGTGTTTCCCGTTATATTTAACTTTTCCCATAATTGAACAATTTTCCGTGGTGATCTGTTGAGAGCTGTCATCTTTATTAACTTGTGTCAACTGTTCCAGCGTGCCACGACGTGTAACATCTTGTAAAGTTACATACGGCGAAGTTCCGCCCATTCATCTGACCCAATTCATCAATTGTCACGTGCCTGTGTTCAGTGAATGCTAGCTACAAACAGCCTTCTTTGTTTACATGGCGATTTATGAAGGTAGCACAATTCACAGCAAATCGATAAGCGCAATGCCACGAAACTTCACCGTATGGGATGAAGCAGAGTAAATGACCGGTTTGGCCTGCTGTACACGGCTTTATTCTTTTCAATGCCCGTCAAGCGTTTTAGTAACTCAGCGGCAGCAGAGGAAACACTATCTTTGTGAATACCAGCTGAAATTATTTAAATTTATCTGAATGCATCGAACTTTTGTTTTTGCAAAAAGGATCCTAGGGATTAAAGTTCTCGTTCCTTACGTATGTCAGCGGGATTTTTTATGACCTTTCAGTAAAAGCTTGACTGAGATTCGATGGTCAAGTGAATGGGACTGATCTAGGGTGTCAAGCAGAACAATATAATTACAGTACACTCTGTTGATTTAAATGTCTACTTGGTAATAAAATTAACAATCGTTCAGTGGTAAAATTTTCTGTGGCTAGCCGCCATGTCACACGAAAGTAGACTAAGGGCTGGGATACTGCCGGGCTGCCCAAGCCCAACAGACTTCCCAGTCAGTTAATTCACCCTCTAACCACCAAACCATCTCGCCACCACCGAACCTTAACGCCCCACTGAGTCATTACTATGTATACTACATTGTACGGTTGCACATGAATAAAATTACTGTTAATTTGCAACTGAGTTTCAGTTCCTCTGATACGGTGATTTTCGCGTTAGAACAGATCCACAGATTTATTTTCGAATAGTCCAGGTTGAGGAGCATCGTCTGAAAACGGTATGAATGATAAGAAGATTCCGGAATTTGTTCTGTTTAAGCAAAAATGCTTCACCAAAATAACCGCCGTCAAATACGACCAAACGAAGTGGACTGTAGGCTTTTCTTGGTCACTTTAACTGAGGTGAAACCACAAGATGTTTTCTAGATGAGCCGATGTGTAGGGGTTAACTCAGCAAAATAATTTGGAAACAGTTTGGTACTGACCAAACCAGCGAAAAGCCGCGATTTTAGGGGGGGAGCATTATCTCAAAAAACGTCCAAATTGATCAAAATATGACTACTATGATCAAGGGCATACCTCCTTAGGAATCCGCCGGAATAGACTTGTGGACGAGAAGCTTATCGTTTCTTCGGGAGAATCACCCGGTGTGGATTCCATCGACCGGTTTTGTAGGTTGAAATCCATTTGGGTGTGCGCATCGCCACCACGAGTGGGTATGGCCTGACGGCGCGCTCTTGAATACGCTAGATGAAAAAACGAGAAACCAAGTCTGGTTTGACAGCATAACTAAAAAATCTCAAGAGTGCTCAAAACACTCGGATTTACTGTAAAAGATTGACAGGTTTTACAAATTCGCCAAGAAGTTAAATGAACTCTAAGCTTCTCAAACAGACTTCATATTTTTGAGCAATTCAGAGATTACAAGCAAACTACTAAAAGTGTAGCACATAAGATCAGCGGAGGAACCAAGTAAACCTCTATCTACGAGTTCGAAATAAAGTCATTACTAGCAGCGACTTTCTAAAAGAAATTAGCATTCAAATTTTATCTTCCTTGAAAATCGTTTGTAAGAAACAGACGAAAATTTTGAGAAGTTTCGTAAGTATTTTAATCAATATTCCCTTCTAACCATTAGCTAGGCCAAGTAACCCATTCAAAAATCACACACCACGTGATAAAAAAATGCTTTGTTGGGAGGCTTAGCGGGCCGGTGTCAAAAACCGGCCACCAGACTTGATTGCATAAGCGGTGAGTCAGACAGCTACTGATGCATCACGTCGCTGGAATACAAGAAGCAAATTCTACGACTGCATGCATGAATAAAATTACTGTTAATTTGCAACTGAGTTTCAGTTCCTCTGATACGGTGATTTTCGCGTTAGAACAGATCCACAGATTTATTTTCGAATAGTCCAGGTTGAGGAGCATCGTCTGAAAACGGTATGAATGATAAGAAGATTCCGGAATTTGTTCTGTTTAAGCAAAAATGCTTCACCAAAATAACCGCCGTCAAATACGACCAAACGAAGTGGACTGTAGGCTTTTCTTGGTCACTTTAATTGAGGTGAAACCACAAAATGTTTTCTAGATGAGCCGATGTGTAGGGGTTAACTCAGCAAAATAATTTGGAAACAGTTTGGTACTGACCAAACCAGCGAAAAGCCGCGATTTTAGGGGGGGGGCACATTATCTCAAAAAACGTCCAAATTGATCAAAATATGACTACTATGATCAAGGGCATACCTCCTTAGGAATCCGCCGGAATAGACTTGTGGACGAGAAGCTTATCGTTTCTTCGGGAGAATCACCCGGTGTGGATTCCATCGACCGGTTTTGTAGGTTGAAATCCATTTGGGTGTGCGCATCGCCACCACGAGTGGGTATGGCCTGACGGCGCGCTCTTGAATACGCTAGATGAAAAAACGAGAAACCAAGTCTGGTTTGACAGCATAACTAAAAAATCTCAAGAGTGCTCAAAACACTCGGATTTACTGTAAAAGATTGACAGGTTTTACAAATTCGCCAAGAAGTTAAATGAACTCTAAGCTTCTCAAACAGACTTCATATTTTTGAGCAATTCAGAGATTACAAGCAAACTACTAAAAGTGTAGCACATAAGATCAGCGGAGGAACCAAGTAAACCTCTATCTACGAGTTCGAAATAAAGTCATTACTAGCAGCGACTTTCTAAAAGAAATTAGCATTCAAATTTTATCTTCCTTGAAAATCGTTTGTAAGAAACAGACGAAAATTTTGAGAAGTTTCGTAAGTATTTTAATCAATATTCCCTTCTAACCATTAGCTAGGCCAAGTTACCCATTCAAAAATCACACCACGTGATAAAAAACTGCTTTGTTGGGAGGCTTAGCGGGCCGGTGTCAAAAACCGGCCACCAGACTTGATTGCATAAGCGGTGAGTCAGACAGCTACTGATGCATCACGTCGCTGGAATACAAGAAGCAAATTCTACGACTGCATCCGGAGATGCTCTGCGTCTTTGTGGAAACCACACTTGGTATCGAGGTCACATTCATGAACCCATATGTTTTCCGTCACTCTCCTGGTAGACAGTGACCCGCAAAACGGACAAAATTTAGCAGCGATCTGGCATACAAACTGTCGCATATATATCCTACGATCACCCCCAGTAAGGTAATGCTTGAGAAAGATTGTATGATCCATATTTAAGCCGAATTCTCCATGTATTTCTACTGACCGCCAAAATTTTGTTTAAACGTTTATTGTACAGGTCACCGGCCTCCTGAAAAAAGACCATAAAATTAGATGTCAGCGATTGGACACGTTGGAGGCATTTGTCATCAGTATCTAGCTGATCCGATCACTTCACCAATGACCATTGTCCACAATCAACTTAATAATACCGGCTATTGTCTCCGATTTGAGACAGATTACTTCCAGCCCCAAAGTGGCATCGTTGTTTAAACGTTTATTGTACAGGTCACCGCCCTCCTGACAAAAGACCATGAAATTAGATGTCAGCGGTTGGAAACGTTGGAGGCATTTGTCCCCAGTATCTAGCTGATCCGACCACTTCACCACTGACCATTGTCCACAATCAACTTAACAATGCCGGCTATTGCCTCCGATTTGAGGCAGATTACTTGCAGTCCCAAAGTGGCATCAGAGCTGTTGGACACATGGACTATTCGAAATTTCAATTGAAGCTGTTGCTTCTATGCTGACTGCCCACGTCCGTGAACGACTTATGAATGTAGTTTTGGCTTGCGAGATGTAAATTTGCTATGCCATTGTTGCTTTTTCTCCAGCTGCTTCAAATTTCTGTTGGCTTTTTGGTAAATTATATCGCACTACACACATGTATAAATTAAATAAACAAACCGGCACGAAAAGTTACATAGGGTCCGTTCAGTATTTGGAATCACAAATCCCTACGGAATTTTGAACGGCACATAGAATTCCAAATTTTCAATACAGGAGTGCCGAGTCTTTATGTCAGCTGATAGCTTCGTGTCTAAGCAGCGTGAGAAGGGGAGTTCATCATATGTTCCAAACGTCGGAGTCGTCTGTCGAACCATGCATTTGCACATCAAGCATGATCACAGCATGATGTCAAGCCGATTACGTACAAACCGTGATAACCATAAAGGCTCTGGCTATTCGTTTGGGATTAGGTTTAAGCATGAGATATCTGTTATTTCCAAAATTGGTTTCGGTAGCTTCTCGGCAACAGGGTTATTTATCCAAACCACTCGTTTATGGGTAATTGCATAGCCCATGATGTTTCGGCGGATGCTGAAATTTCCGTTCTTACAAATGATTCTTCAGCAGTACTGGGAAACGATCAATCATTCATCGAAATAAGACACCAAACTGCAAACCCGCCTGGCTCTGCGATTTGTTCCATTGAGGCCGAAGAATTTGGCAGAAAATTGTGCACAGCACCGTAGATGTGACTGTAGATGGAAAATTGTAGCCTGATTGACGGTAACAAGATGTTTATAATCTTCAGAGACAATCACGTATGACTTTTCTGATGGTACGCTTTCCACAACCGGGGCCCGAATACAGCTCGCCTGTTTGAGAGTTTATAAAAATCAGACATTTTGCGCGGTACTGTCGACTAGGGTGGACGAATTTCGCCCAAAAGCAACTTGGTGATATATGGCCAAGTAGAAGAATCAAATGTCAGGCTCAGGAAATAAGAGGATGAGGAAGATGCATTCTTGGAAAGATGTGGGTCTGTAATCAAATTCGAAGTGCAAAATAGCGATGATAAATAGAGGATTTGGACGTCATTAACCTCAACTAGTTGAAACTATCATTCAAGCACTTTTCAGGAGACCCCGAGGACAGAATAATTCAAAGATGTGACCAAATCTACAAAAATAAACACAATTACGTCTCACATATCTACCGGAATTCAGTCAGTTTATATGATCCTGTTCTGTGACACTTAATCCTCCCGCAACTAACTCGAAGAAGAACCACCTTCAATCATAAAAAAAACAGTTTTTATTGTCATTTCTGTTTCTTGAAAACATCTATCATGTGCTATAGCTTTAAATACTTCACCCTGGTTTTCACCGCTGATTATCTGGAGCTTTTATTGTTTTAATGATTTTTCATTGAATATTAATAATCCTATGATTCTGTAATTCTATTAATGAAACCATATTTTCACCAACGCATGGGAAAAATATCCTCTGTTTTGTGACACATGATAGACAAGGGTGGCGATCTCGCAGACCTTTTTCGAGATAGGTAAAGTGGGAAATCTGAATCGTGTCCGATTTAGTAAACCACTCTTTGAGCATTACAAGGCGAAGTCATGTGCTTGATTCTTCTTTATGAGATTACTATTCGGTAAAACCTATTTTACAATTTCATTTGAAGGACGAAGCAAACCAGACCACCACCCTTTCACACTTCAAATACTTTCCAATGCCACACAGTTGAATTCAAAATTAAATTTAGTTTCAGGTTCAGAAGGAACATGTGTTTTGCCCATCAGTCATTTAAACAAACTATTAAGTTTGACATAGTTACTAAACACAATATTTTCCATCTTCAAAATATTTTGGTCAGGCCTGCGCAGTACACTTCTGTGTTCATCATGCAAACCTTCAAAAAATCGATATCTTTTACCTCTCTACTTTGCTGCCACTAGAAGATCCGTTGAGTGATTGCGTCAGTTTGGTGTTGCACCTTCGTCAGAGTGAAAACTCCGATAAATGAAACAAAAACTGTCATAATTTTAAGCGAACTCAACTCGACTATATCTTAAAAGTAATCAAAGAAATTTGTTCCTTGAGTCAAAAAGAAATGAACTAAAAGAGTTCATGGAGAAAATTTTGTGTGCACTCGAGGCAGCTTTTACGTCACTCGGACGGCAAACGTGGGCGTATTGCCAGTGGATAAGTTTCAAAATAGGGGGTTATGTCATTCCACTAGATAGTTAAATTGTAAGGCAAAATAGGCTTTTGACCTTGGAGGTTCTGAGTGAATTTATTCGTTAGATTTGGGCAGTCATAGACTGTAACCTCCTTATAGACAAAATGCCAGCCTTTCTGATGTCCAGGCCCCTCCCTATGGTTTTTATTTCCACATGTCAGGCACATTTCCTCCGCAGTTCCGTCAGATGTGATTTTCAACCAGTTTGTTCCTTTCGACTACGTCGGGTGTAGAAACTGCAGAGCTACTAACTAGTACTGACCCTAAAAGGAGTCCATTCGTTTACTGGAATACAATTTCCCAGAAGGTTTTATTAGATATGCAACGTTGTCGCTTACATTGTGCTGAATGCGTAATAACAGTAGAGAACCAAATATCTTGTTAATTGTATAAAGGGACGGTAAGATGTGGTAGGGTTCCTAATTACGAACAAACTGATGCAGTTTTGCACTCAGCTAGAAACCATTATAGCAGGGATCACCACCCCTCTTATAAAACGACAGAATAACTCAACAAGTAAGTACAAACCACTTTACTCGGAGCGAGATAGGAACAATTCATGAATTACTGTGACCGCGTCTAGGTTTAACAATCAACTGTAAAGCCAAAGTAATCTTGTCATTGGAAAGCGTGAATTTTTTCTTAAAAATGTAATTCATTGATGGTATGGTATTCCTTCCCATTATCATGTGATGTCTGTCAGCAGATCTAGAAATCGTACATGCCTGCACGTGACTTACGAAACCAGTCGTCTTGCAATCAAAGATTCGCGTTTTTATATGCTAGATTGAGATGGCACCGAAGGAGAGAGTGCTTTCCTATCTATCACGTGAAACGCAAATCAGCATTAGCTGGAAATGTTTGCTACAGAATGGCACAATCCCAAGATAAAGCGAGATGGTTACGTCCAAGCATAGTGAGGCCTCGATTTACCATCAAGATGAAAGCCAAAAACTAGGTTAATAATATGTCAGGTCCACCTTTCCGTTACAAACATTTCAGTTGTGCAGTTAATTCTAGACAGCCAGTGAAGCACCAGAGGTGGATTGGACGGCAAAATCAAGGATGAAACATGGATATTATGTAGTTAGAGAGGTAGAACTGACAAAAATTGCTAGACCTGTATGAATTCTGCCCGTATAATAAGCCTGGAGTTCAGACGGCCAGAATTATCAAGCTGGAAGACTACTGATTAAACATACAAGAATTAGACGCTAAAGATATTAATGACACAATGGATTAAAAGGACAAAAGGAAAAACGTCGGATGTGATTTCAGCTGCAAAATGGCGAACTTGAAATATCTGACCACAGTGAAACCGGACAAAGCTACGCATCCACGAAAATTAGAGACCGAAATGAGCGAACACAAAATAGTTTATTATTTAGGCTGACTAGATTATGAGTGACTTCAGGATGAAGAAAAGAAAGGAGAAATGGTCAAATGAAATAACGTTCTTTTGATAGCGTGATGACAA